TGAACTTAATGACACTAATGATTGTGGTAAACAAACAAACAAGCAAAAGATTGCTAATGTTCATCCAGGATAATAAATTTCTGATGTGAGTGGGAAACTCAGAAATTCTCCTTTTCCGTGTTCCTAGCAAGCCAAGGAAGAACCAGTATACAAACATATAGTATGTAAGTATTTAACTACCTGTAGGAAAATACACACATTCAATTGAAATACCATGTTCTACAAGTTGTACTACTAGTACATAGTAAAGACTGATTTAGTGGGGCTAAATTCCATCAGAAAGTTTGCTCAAATTTCTGCTTGTTCCCAATGCATTTGAATCAGAGTACTTGAATCACTTTTTTATATCAAAATGCTTTGGACTCATCATATAGGTACAGACAAGTTATGGTGCACACACCTCTCAGCTACTTCCTACTCAGAACATCAAGATAGAGGCAGAAAAAAGACTTTGCTTATATGGCTTCCATTTCATTTTGCACTGAAATAGGTCCTCTGTGATGGGATAAACAGGTTATACAGGTCAAACAAAACAAAAATTAATTTTATCATAGTCATTCAGCACTTATCATGTACCAGACAATGTTCTAGAAGTTTTGTATATATATAATTTTCTTTATTATCTCAGGAGCTCTATTAAGTAGATATTATAGTGCCCATGCAGATGAAGAACTTGAAATTAAGAAAAGTAAAATAACATACCCAAGGCTTCACAATTTTTAAATGAAAGGTCAGAATTCAAACATCTTCTTTCTGACTTTGAAATTTTGAACTTGACAACCTTAAAATGCATTTAATATTCATAATAAGCCTATCTATTTCCCTACTGAGAAGATGAGAAAACTGAGGCTCAGAGTTCAGTAATTTGCCAAAAGTTTTTCTTTTATGAAATGATCCACTGAAAAAATTAAATTAGGTTCAATGAAGACCTTCTCCTTCAAATCCCTCTTCCAACTGACACTGTGTCAATAATAACTGACTGAGACAATTTTGTGAAGTCAGTATTCTTTACTATTTTTTATCTTTAAATTATTTGTTTGAATACGAAGAGAACACAATATAGGGAAACCAGCAAAAATATATGCTTCATTCCTATGGTAATAAAGAAAAAAGTGGCTCTGGGAAAAGCATAAAAAATGAGCTGTGGGTTATTTTTGGTTCATCCAGTATCCCCAATACATCTTCTCCCTGTGGGCTGACTCAGGGCAACATATGGCTGTTCTTTTCACAGTTCAGATTCTTCTGTTTACCCTGAACCTCTAGGTTACAATATGTTTTGTAATCACTAATAAGGACTACCTGCCTCTTGAGAGATTCAGCCCAGCAAAAAAGCGAGACCTAATTGTTCAAATTCACTCTCAGGTAGACAATACACCCTTCATGCATGGACTGAGATTACTGAGTAGAAAACTTAAATCCAAACAAACAAATTATACTAACTGATTATAATTGCTAAATTAAGAACATGTTCATTCCATAAAAAAAACAAACAATAATATTTGGAATTATAAAAGCAATGCTTTTGAGGAAATGAAATGCCTCATATGTTTTCCAAGAAAATGAAAAAGAATCATCTACTTGTTTAAAAAATTCATTCACTTCACTAAGACATACTCTAGGCAAATTTACTGCACTCAAAAATGCCTATCCATATAATCTGTGTACAGTTTTATCCAATAGTTGAATTATTCCAGAAGAACTCTTTGAAAACAAGCAGAATTCAATCCAATAACTGACTGATAAATGCTTACCATTGAGAGTGTGAAAGCTATTTTAAATCTGGTTTAATAGAACAAGAAGAGATGGCGCACATGGATAAGAGTAAACCCTCCTCCCAGCATCCTCCTTTGCCCTCTGTAATGATTCCCACCAGTGGTCAGGCCAGATTAGGAACCTCTCTCCAGGCTGCCTTTGCAATACCATGTACACACCTTCATCAGTGCTCCTGTCTTGCTGTGCTAGAATTGTTAGAGTGTCTGTGACCCCCTTCTAGTCTGTGAGTGCCCTGAGAGCAGGAACCACAAATTCACTCTAATGACAACACCTAGGTCAGAGTACGAGCACAGAATGAATTTATTAAATCCATTAAAAAATAAATGCCTAGATGACAACATCTATCCACATCCTACTATAGGAAAATAAATTGTGTGTGTGTGTGTGTATGTATCTTACATAAAGTTTACTTTTTAAGTGCAGAAGGATTTTCTAAGTATTAAGGCCAATATCAACGACTGACAGAAACAACTGGCTGTGGGGAGAAATGATCAGCATTTTAAAAGCAGAGGTTCTCTCTGAACTTTCTAAAGCAAACTCAAATGCGTCTTCTAATAGGATCTTCACTTCTCGACTCACTACAGTCATTATCTATCAAGTTCTCCAATGACCATGTACAATCCTGAAATGCTGGATTAATCACAGGTAATATTTATGGATCTCAGGTGTAGTAGACACTGGATTAAGTACTTCATTGTATAGTTTCATTTAATTCTTACTATGACCATATAAGGTGGGTGCTACTAACGTTACCATTTTAGAGATGATGAAACTGAGGTATATAATTTGTTTAATGCTTTGCCTAGGAGCCAAGCAGAAAATTTACAAACTGGTAGCTTTCCATGCATTCCACCTCTACCTTCGAGTTGGTAACATCCAACTCCTAAGGAGAAAAGTCATCTAGTTTTCCTGATAATCCTCAAAATGGAATCCTTGATTTATAATCTCTCCCCAGAGTCTAATTTACTGTTTTCTTCTAAGAGCTGTATTTTCCCTGTTTCAGTAAAACTAGCACTGCTGTCTAGTAATAAGTGATCATAATCACTCATGAGAAATAATTCTTACCAATTGTTTTGATATATTTTATGAACAATAACACAGTCATAAACATAAAACTTTCATGCACTGTTAAATGTACATAAAAGAGCAGTTTGAGATTCAGCATGAAATTTTATAACTATATTATGTGCATATGGAGAGAGATAAGTGTATACATGTCTACTTGTGTATATAATTATTTTAGCTGTCTTTGTGTTACATACTAGTGCACATAATTTTCTAACATTGAATTTTGCTGTGTAAATACTTAACCATAAGAATATAATAGGAGGTTTGGGATTAATAAAAGTCAGGAGAAAAGGAATTTCCCTATTTTAACCCTTGTCAAAACTTTTTGGTCATGTATATTTTATTTCTCATAGGCCCACTTTCAAAAGAGCATTTGTCAAAAAGACACTGATTATCAATAACCTGTGGAGTGATCAAAGCTTTGGTTCGATAAATATCACTTAAGGGTGCAGAGCAATAAATGAGACTTCATGAAGCAGTTACATGTAAACTATAGATATGTGGTCTTGCATCCCTCCAAAATAGTTGGAAACATCAGCTGTCTGTGCATTATTAAATGCATAGCCACGATAATTATCAGGAAGTTATTTCAAAGACAATAAATCATAAACGCTCCAGTTTTTCTATTTCTCATTATCTACTTCTTTACTGAGATTTTGGATGACTGGTGCTGCATAAACCTGTCACTTGAGGGGACATATTTAGACATATGGAATCAAAAATTATATTTAAAATTCCAAATGTATGTCTTTTGAGTGGGTTCAAACACAAGAAGGCATATGTGCACTCTCACAGTATCATGGTGGTTCTGAGAAGCAACAAGAGGAGATATTTTCATTAGAGGAAAAAGTGAATTACACAGTAAAACAATAGAACAGTAGAAGAATATGTTCCTAGTTTATTTGAAATATTTTAGAAGCATCTTACGCCTGCAGAAGAAATATTGCTGTTGTTGCAGCAATTCCTTGGCCCCTAAATTCTTGTAAATAGGCTTCTGCTTCTGTGGAAGAGATGTTGTATTAATAAACTCCAATCCTGGGCCAAGACCACAGGGCATGCTCCTTACTTCTCTACACCTGATGAGACCAGTGTGCGCTAATATGGGGCCAAGGGTTGTTAAAATGTGAAATAGTTTTTTACTCACCCTCCCCTCCCCACCATCCTTAATCCTGGGCCCTGTCATTTCCTGGCCCTTCCAGGCTCAGAATTCAGAATTCCATCAGGCTCAGAATTCGTTTCCTGCTCCAGAGCCCCTTACAATTGGTGGTGGATGCTGCTCTCCCCAAAGTTCCTGAAGACCCAGCCCTAGGAGAGTTTGGGGGCTGCCTGCCAGTCAGACACACCTGACAAAGCTCCTCCTTTACTTCAGCTGACATCCTTACACCCTTCAGTGCTATCCCCAGTCCGTCCCTGCCAGACCCCAGCAGGAAGAGGCAGAGCCCTGGGTGGCGTTGTAGCACCCTGCAGGCAAATGCCCAGCTGCCTTCTGCACCACCTCTATCCCTGCGAGCCCACTTGGGTCTGGGCTCTCCACATCATCCTCACACAGTCACTTGAAGGAACTGTAACATTTATGGGCCATAGACCTGGAGAGTACCTGAGGTGGACAAGGACAACAGGTAGATCCAAGGGCTGTTAAGTAATCTGAACATCACACTCGGATACATCAGCTTTCCGGGAGTTGAAAGAGGCAAAGTAAACACAGCATGATTCACTTCTGTCAACCAAATGTGGCCATAAGGTCTCGCTTTATGATGTAGCAAAAGTGATAGACACTTCTTATTCTAAACACCAACTTCATAATTCAGAACATACTCAGTCAATTCTACCCCATCCTTGACACACACACACACAGTACAAAAACTTGACCAAGTGATCATCTATAAAACGGCAAAATATTTCTAGGCATATCATCAATTATAAGGTATGAGATCTTTCATTAAATCCTTACAGATATCAAGAGATTTCTCTACAGAGGTTTAAGAATGTCTATGACATTTTATAGTGGAAGGAAGGAACAAGTTTTCTCAAATGTTAATAAGTTTTCTAAAAATGTTATTTTCAGGGAAAATCTATTCTAACAAAAGTTTTATACTTAAAAATAAAGCATTCCTCCTGGAGAGTGATCTACCTTGATATACATTTATATTGATACTTGCTTTTAGATGAAGTTGATTGGTCCAGTGCCCGATGACTTTGTACTCTGTGCTCTTGTTGGTTATTTGATACTGGAAGATATCGTAACGTCCAGGAGCATCTCCGTTTTCATTAAAAGTGACGGGTGTGCCAGCACTGCCTATAAAGATATAAAAAACAATGTTAATAAAGTTTTAGTAAGATAGACCACTGAGCTTATTTTTCTCTTAGAAAGGATGGTAGATAAAAATATATTGTGTGCAGTAAGTGATATGAGGATTATAATCCATACAAGGTCATTCTTGATAGCCTAATATCTTTTACATGGAAAGAAGCCAGACGTACATACAGGAAGGAGACGTGCTTTATTGTACACGTTGAAAAGTAAATGATGAGCATCCAACTTAGGCAATATACATAACAGCTAAATAAATAAAAGTTGATAGGCTGAATACTCAACACTGGCCACATAGAATGGTAGTTAATAGAGAAAAATGGAATGTCTTGAAGCATGACAACTATCGTACAATATGAACTACAAATGGCAACTGAAAATATGGCAGGAGAATGTCCCAGCCAGAATCCCCAGAGTTTTTACTTTATCCCAACTTCAACTCCACTCTGAAGCAGTTGTCGTTTTGAATTCCTTTGTTTCTGGTATCTCTACCCAAAAGTACATCAATGTGGTCTACTCTTGGGAACCTTTCAATGGGTAAGGCAATAACCAACAGGTAGTCCCAACTCTGTTCAGGTCATAAAAGTTCCCCTGCTTCACAGTGAAAAGTGTAACAGAAGCAGGGCAGCAGGCTGCAAGAAGTGTGTCATCTTTTCTAAATCCCATTCCTCTTGGAAGATTTTATCTTTTCTCTCAATAGCTTCTGCTTCCTTTTACTTTCCCTCCTATTAACATTAATGTAATTTCAGGTGTAAGAGTAGACAAGGATCACTATCCCCAAGGTTTTCTTGTTCCAGTTCTCCTCACTATCTATATAGATTTTCCTTTTCTCTATCCCCCTTCCACCCCTTTCATCTTCTTGGGTTATTCTTTTCTAACTTGAAAAATTCACCTGGCACCAATCCCTTTTCTGGGAGTCTCTCTTCTCTGTAGGCACCCTTCTCTAAATTTCTTCTCACAGGATATTGGATTTAATATCTACGTTGTGCTAGAAAGTTTCTCCCTCCTGGTATCTCTTTTCCACATAATATTTTCTAAAAATATATTTTACTAAGAGTTACATATGTCAGCTGTATAAATTTCCATCCTATAATGAGTTTCTTAGTCTATCTCTAGAGTTGTTTAACTAAATGCCAATAGTCAAAATTCTAAAATATTTATCTTATCAAATGAGGAACTTTATCAAAAAAAACAGTCACCTGCAAGTAATATGAGAGTCATATGGCAGCAATTAGAATATTTTGATAGTATTTAATGGAGAGATGCCTAATATTCTATTTTCTTGATTCTTCCTAAAAATCTTAACATAGTATGAAGTCTCTGATGAGACAACAGATATCTGGTATCCTTAATAGCCACTGAGGTTACAAGAGATGACAAAAGCATGGAAGAAAGAACCTGTCCATGCTAACTCTGTTCCCCATTTATTTTTACAATGTGTGTCTGTCTGTTTTTCTTGCCACAATAAATACACGCATATTTTGAAGTCCTAAAAGAGCTGGAAGCATGTAAATGATTATGATTGCTATTAATTCCTGTGAGAAATAACTTGATATGTAAGTCAATAAAGACATGAGGAATAGGAGATTAAATTAGGAACTCTCCAATCCACCAGTACTATCTTAGCTACTCCTTAGATATTCAAGTGGAAACCCATTTGCTGTACCTGATCCAAACCTTTCCCAACTGTTAGTGACCTTCAGCAGGTTAAATTCTTAAATCCTCAGTTTCTTCAACTGTATGGGGGGAAACAACCAAAACTCATAATTTATTTATTATTACAACAATTTTTTTTTTTTTGAGTTGGAGTCGCACTCCATCGCCCAGACTGGAGGGCAGTGGCCACACCTGGCCACCGCAGCCTCGACCTGCTGGACTCCTTATTTATTAAAAAATTGTGTATTTATTCTTACATGTTTAAACTTTAGTCACCTTCAAAGTACTCTTCCTTTGATGTAATACACCTACCAAGAAACTTTTTCCAGTTCTCAAAACAGTTTTTGAACTCATCAATTTTTATGCCTTTTAGTGCTTCTGCCATTTGTTTTGTTTTTTATCTTTCTTACATCTACAAGATGTTTCACTTTGAAGAATTTTTTCATCCAGGGGGAAAATAATTAAAATTAAAAAGTCACTGGGGCAAGATCCAGTGAATAAGGAGGGTGGTGCCCTGGGGTCATGCCATTTTTGGTCAAAAACTGCTAAGCACTCAGCGTGATGTGGAAAGGCTGTTTGTGTAAATGACCCATCAAGAAATGGACAAACATACTGAAAGAATTTTTTAAAAATTCCTTGAAGCTAAATGAAGCCTCTCACAACAACACTAGCTGAGACTGTGCTGCCAATGGGTTCCTAGAACTCTTACCTGGGAGGAAGCCTGTACTATGAGGGCTTCCAGTTTTTTGTGGAAATGGGGGTAATAATGATACTTTTCTAATAGAATTGTTATGAGAATTAAATAAATTGATATTTATCAAGTACTTAGAATAGTTAACAAAGTAGCTTAAATATTATTATGTACCCCATATTTATTTTCAGTACACATCAATACATAGAAATAGGATGCTGAAAGTTCTTTAAGTGATACCTAAACAAAGAAATATTAGAATTCTAATGAGAAATGCACCTATACTTCTGGCTGGAAAAGTACATGTTATGAATTTTACATTAGTATCATCAATTCATAACTTTTTTTTTGAGTTGGAGTCTCACTCACTCTGTGGCCCAGGCTGGAGTGCAGAGCACACTCACAGTCACCATAGCTTCAACCTGCTGGGCTCAGGTGATTCTTCCACCTCAGTCTCCCAAGTAGCTGGAACTACAGGCATGCGCCACCATACCCAGCTAATTTTTTTATTTATTATAGAGATGCGGTCTCGTCAAGTTGCCCAGGCTGGTCTCGACCGCTGGACTGAGGCAATCCTCTCCCCTCAGCCTCCCAAAGTGCTGGGATTACAGGCAGAGACACCGTGCCTGGCCTAATTACTAACTTTTTTGTATCACTTTGAAACATTATAATGGCATATTCCCTCCTGACTGAAGAGATACTTAATTTTATCTAACTAAAATCACCAAATTTGTCACCTCCTCAACTGAATAACTTCTTAGCTCGCACAATAGTAGTTCCCACTCTTTTTTACAATAACAGTACCCAGAAGTTCAAGGTTATAGTGAGCTTTGGTTGTACCACTCCACTCCTGTCTGGGTGACAGAGTGAAACTCTATCTCTAAAAATAATAATAATAATAAATAAGCAAACAAACTTTTTCATTCATGTATGCTAGTGGAGAAATGAAAACAAACAACATGGAGTTGCGAGGCAACTTTTAATAGTCAAATACTATCATCAGAGTTCACACATCTTGAATATTTTCTGTTCCATTAAGAAATGTGTGAGTAAAATGGCAGGGCACAGTGGCTCATGCCCGTATTCCCAGCACTTTGGGAGTTGGATGCAAAAGAATAACCTGACCTCAGGGTTTCAAGACCAGCCTAAGCAACTTGGCAAGACCTCATCCCTACCATAAATGATAAAATTAGCCAAGCATGGTGGCACACATCTGTGGTTCCAGCTACTTGGGAGGCTGAAGCAGAAGGATCGCTCGAGCCCAGCAGATCAAGGCTGTGATGGCTATGAATGTACACTGCACTCAAGTGTGGGTGACAGAGAAAGAATCTGACTCAAAAAAAGAAAAGAAAAGAAATGTGTGGGGAAAATGTATTACTAGGCATTTCAAGCACTTCCAACATTTTTTTTTAATTTTAAAGATGTAGGGTACAATGCAGAGTTAAGTATACAAATATTCATTATGCAGCTACCGCTGTTGATGAGGTGTACCTCCCCACACCCAGCAGTTTCCCACTACTGCCAGTTCAACCTCCGCCCTCCCCTGGCAGTTTCCCACTACTGCCAATCCCTTTCTTATAGTTTTATGATAGTTGTTCAAGGTCCGCTTATGAGTGAGAACATGCGATATTTGGTTCTTTGCTTTTGTGATAGGTCACTCAGTATTATAGCCTCTAAGTCCATCCAAGTTGCTGCAAAGTTCATAGCTTTGTCCTTCTTTATGGCTGCATAATATGGGCTTCCGGGCAAAATCCAACATGGTTTTGTAAGAAAAATGATACATTCACTGAAAATTATGTTTGAAAATGTTGGCTCTTTTGAATATCGTGCAGGGGAAGAGTATGGGCTTAGGATTCCAAGACTAAAGTGTGATTTCTGGCTCTGCCAATTACCTCTGTGATCTGGGCAAGTTACTGTCTTTAAGCCTGTTTCTTCACCTGTCAAGCAAGGAAAATAATTCCGACCTCCCCAAACTATTGCAAATGTCACATGAGATAATGCATGCAAGGCACTTAGTGTATGAGTAGCTCACAACAGCTATGCAATTAATGACATTATCCATTCCTTTGCCTATACTTATGCTCCCTTAGTCGACATTTTCTTGTTTCCACAGTGCAAACAGCACAGTAAGAATAATCCATTCACCTTTGTGTGCAAAAATTATAAATACCAAGGTTGTCAAAAATGCATACACATTTTAAGAGATGTTAAGAAATGTTAAGAGATGCTCGCCATAATCAAAAGTGTTTGGACACTGACGGTAACCACTTTGAGTACCTCTTATCAGAAGTCAAATGTGATAGTATGTATCTTATTGAGTATTACAATTTTAATACAGTTTTTTTCCTTTCTTAAAATGTGTTTACATTTTTGGCACCCTCTGTATATTTATAAGTGAATCCTCTCAGTGTGCTTATTGCCAAATTTATTACTTTTCTTTCTGTCTCTTGCTACCAAAACTTTACCTCTTATCCTGTTCATTACCACCTACACTCCTGGATGAGCAGGAAAAAATAAGAAAGCTAAAAATGAAATCAGTTAATTTAGTTATTTTGGCACCCTTAAAAAAATAAATATGTGAGATTTAAGTCATTGACCAAAATGCCACAGGAAGTACCAATTTTTTGCAGAATCTCAATAAT